GATGGATGGATGGATGGATGGAAGGATGGATGGATGGATGGATGGATGGATGGATGGATACTCACTATGGGTGCAGCTTGTAGACAGATCCATCGACTCCGACTGTGATCTTCAGGACGTCCTGGCTGCGTCGCTCGCGCATCTGGTTGATGACCCCGGCGAGGCCTGCGCCGCACATGTGAGCCGAGCGAGTGGAAATACTCTCACAGACCAGCCGCACGATGTCGCAGTCCAGCTCAGACGGAAGAACACCAAGAGAGGAGAGGATGTTGTAGATTTGTTTTCTGTCCCCAGAATCACTGAAAAATAAGAACCAAAGCACAAAATGATGCTTAGAAGAAATAGATTGAACTGCCTCTGACGCTGTCATGCATTATACATCCATAGTAACTATGATAATAATGTCTTATCATTTTGGCTGACTGGATTTTATGGATCGTATCATCAGGAAACGTTCCCATCATAATCACCTTTCCACCTGTGAGACAAAGCGCGTCTCAAAGCTGCCACGTGTCTTCAGCAGCTCCGAGGCTTCACCGTTAAACAGCAGGTTTTCGTTCACCAGCTTCATCAGAACGAGCCTCACCAGCTCCCCCATGTACTTCCCACTGATCAGCTTCTCGTACCTGCAGGAGGCAACAACATGAGAAGAGGGAAGTGGTTTTCAAAAGGTGGACGTGCTGAAGGGAAGGGTGAGGAACATTCATGTACGACTGTAAAACTGACTGAATAATGTTGATTTCCTGAGCGTTTCATTCAGAGTTCATGGATTCGTTTGCTATCAAGCAACGTTGACTCCAAATGACTTAAAATCTTAAACAAAAACCTTGCTCGATCAAAGTACGTGTTTGAGATAATGTCACACTGAATTTGAGGTCATTTTCTGTGAAACTGACCGAGTTGTTGCTATATTTACACGGTGGCAGCCATCTTTAATTGGGTCAGCTTCAAAAGATAATTAATTGTGAACACATCCAAACATTACTTTTGGCAAAATTCAATAAAAGCAAGTGGTTGATGACATATTTTGATAACTCTACCAACACAGACACAAGCAAAAACATTATCGCCTCCTGGGGGGTCATAAGAATCCTCCTCCTTTACAAAGATAGGTGCAGACCAGAGGAGGAAGGCAACATGGAGCCCTAAAGTGACGGCAGCTGTGTGTGTGAATGGGCTGCTGGTGTCAAAAGGTAAACAGCCATTAAGCGTACAGGCACCGTGTCCTGCAGCAGAGAGGGATCATTAATCTGACATCTACACCTGCCGACTGACCACTGACGTCTGAGGCTCTCTGTTCTTCTGCTAACATCCTGAGGAAAACAGCTGGTAGCTTGGCAACTTTACAGATGACGTTGAGTCAGGTGAGAGCTGCCCGACACGGGGGTGATTAATTCATAGAAACAGCATGTGAGTGAGGGGGAGAGGCGGGTGGCACACGAAACTACAATACAGGTTCTCTCGACCCTCGTCCTGGTTGCACTCAGGGGATGAAGCTCTGAACGCGTTGAATGTTTAAATTTCACGTTTGCACTCACAGCTGGTGGCCCGGGTTGATGGAAGCCTCGTCCACCACTCTGTCGTACTCCAGCCTGAAGTCCTCCAGCTCGCCGTTGTCTCCAAAGGCGCCCCACTCTGTGTTTACACACATCCGGCCATCCTCCCCCTCCACCAGCTCCACCGTCCTCAGCTCCTCCATGTAGCACACGTTGCAACCAGTACCTGGTTGTCACAACAAACAACAGCTCCTGTAAGAGGCGTCGCTTCAACGAGCGCTCGGTGGTCACACGTGTTCACGTCTTCTTACCGACAATCATCCCAACTTCACAGCTGCGGTCCTCGTAGTAGCAGGAAATCATGGTGGCGACTGTGTCGTTCACCATGGCAACCACATCCATCTCAAACTCCTACATGACACAAAGCATCAGGGTACTCCTCCCAGACAGGTGTTGCGTTGCTTATGGGCACGAAAGAACATCTTTGTAATTCACTCACCCCTCTTCTCTTGATGGCGTCTCTGAGCAAACCCACGACATTGTTCCCCTCTGCTCCAGAGGCTTTAAAGCCTTTGGTCCAGTTCAGCAATATGCCCTGTGAAAATATAAAAAAAAAAGGAATTTAGCAACTTTTTACAAATCAGGCCAATAAAACTAAAACAAAGTACAGTCACTGTCAACCATCGTACCTTATCGAGGTCCTCGTGACGCACTGGGAAAGAGAAGGTAAAACCCAGTGGGAGCTTCTTGTGCTTGATGTGATGCTTGTCCAAGAAATCAGACATGCACTCTGCTATGTAGTCAAACAACTGGAGAGACAGAGATGAAGCATTTTTTTAGGTAATTTTAATGTTTACTTGTTTCTCGTTAGTATTTACTGCACTAAACCAGCAGATTATTGGCGCTTAATATAAATATTATCTTCTGGAGATCAAAAATGCTCTTTTTTCCTGGTTGCGTACCATTTTAGCAGTCCCCGTCATTGCATCTTCAGGAATAGAGTACATCTGGTGTTTAGTCTTCACCTTGAAGCTCCTCTCCTCGTCTTCACCCACTTTCACAAGCATCACACGAAAGTTGGTCCCCCCAAGATCCAGAGCCAAGAAATCCCCCACCTCTGTCACAGCAAAGCAGATCCCATGATTAGCTTCTTTAAGAAGACTGATTGCTATATTTCCAAGAATTTTATTTTTTCCTACCTGATCCCTCAGGGGTGGAGCAGACGTAAGTTGGAAGCATTTTGATGCTGGCCTCTTCGTGCGTCTCTAAACGCAGCCCTCTGCTCATCTCATGCTGCATCCTCCTCATTACTTCTTCAAGATCTTCTTTATTCAGCGTGAACTCCGACAGGATCTGTTCCACCTGCAATCAGAAGCAGCACATGAGCAACATTTCCCCAAGATAAGACCTTTTTTTTTACATTTTGTATGTAAAAAAACAGTTAGGAGCAAAAAAGTAAAGAACAAAAGTGGAAAAGCTCTTTAACAATGTAATATAAAGTGGGGAAGCACCATCTAACACACTGTCTGCACAATCTAACAAAGTCTTACCATGAAAACCTTTTCAAGCACATTGTAGCTACCAGGCATCACCATCTGGTCCAAATGATCGCTGACACACGGCATGATGGCAAGCTCAGCTAAAACAAGCCCGAGTGTGTTTCTAGGAATAATGAGTGTGTGTATGTGTGTGTGTGTGTGTTCAGAGTCAGTGAAGTGTGAGTACGGTGAGATCTGCAGCAGCTTTTATGCTCAGGAGAAGAGGCTGGAAGCATCGAACGCCCTCCCTTTCTCAACTTCAACCCATCAGGCGATGAAGGTTCAAACAAACACCCACATACGGGTTCAAAAAGATAAAACGGTGCAAATAGTTAAAAAAAATTAACATTTTATGTAAGTGACCTGATTTCAAACGAATCACAGTATCTATGTCTGCCAAAACAATTCATATTTTTTGACAAACGTGATATACTGCAGTTCATAAAAAGCAGCTCAAAATGAAGTGTGGATAATTATTGGATTTTTTTTTTTTTTTTAGAAAATTCAGTTACAAACATGATTTTAACATAAGGATGATATGATAATAATTGCATTATGATGACAGAATAAATATTGTAAACAACATACTTAATAGCTAAAAACAATTTCAAATATTTTTGACAATTAAAACAATCATTTTTTTTAGGTCTGTTCAAAACTTTAATTTACGGTTTTAGTAAATATTTTTGTGTTTAATTATAAAAAGGGGTTTAAGCGTTTATTAGAGAATTACAATGAATAAAAAAAACACATAAAAACAAACAAATAAATAAAGCAGAAGCCAATATTGTTGCAGTTGTCATAAAAAATACATCACAGAACGTTGAACGCATTGAACTCCATTTTTTAAAATTCTGATTTGGTTTGCATTTTCTAGTTACGGTAAGACAATAAACATCTTACAGTATTCATTTTATTTATTTATTTATTTATTTATTTATTTATTTATTTATTTATTTATTTATAAGGCAAAACCTACTCAAACACATTTCACCTGAAAAAAAAAAAATCCTTAAATATTGTTGCTTTCATGTGACATAGAGTCAATTCATGAGAGAGTTTATGACTCATAAACTCATAAATTTGACCCATAATTTATGAGTAAAATTTTTAAAATCTTTGCATAAATTTCAGCACATAAAAGCCATCTTTTTGTGATCAGAGCAGTATCATGCAACGTTACAGATTGCTCAATGGGTCACAGAGTTCCAGGTAAATGTTTAAAATTAGAAACAGGCATAAAATTAGCAACAGAGAGGGATCAGTGGCCTCCAAGACTAACAGTAGTGTGATAAAGATGAAGGCCTTCGGTGCTTATCAGCTCCGGTGGTTAAACAGACGACAGGTCAGAGCTTTTTTTAGATTTGACCTGTCAGGACCAAAAAACAAAAAATCATCGTAAGCAACCCTTTACCCCAGAAAGCCCCAGTGAGGGAAATCTAAAGACGCAGCAATCTGATTTAATTACTTATATTAACAAATTATAATCACTACTTGTTTCAAGAAATATAAATATCATCATAGTTAAATACTTAAACAGAAAATGTCACTATAAAGGTCCATTTTTTTCTCAGTTTTAAACTCCCAGTTACATCTAGAAAGCTGATAGTGGAAAAGAAAGCATTTTGACTGATGCAATTTAAAGCAATAAAGTGAAATGAAGCCTTTTTTACATAAACCATTTACATACATACTTTTTCAAACAGTGATAAAAACACAAATTCAAGGATTTACTAAAGCTTAATATGTTTTATTTAGGGGTTGAGAAATGAAAAAAATGTCAAGGAGCAGTAGTTTTTTATTATTATTTGGAGTGTTTTTTTTTTTTTTTTAACAATTTATGAATTTTTAAACATTTCACTAAATAGTTCCTGAATTAAAAAAAAAAAAAAACATATGTTATTACATCGAAGTATACTTTTATGTAATAATCTCACATCGTATCCTTTAATGCTCATTAAAGAGACCGGTCATGTTTGAGGTCGCAAGCCTCTGCCATTATTACTTCATGGGTTTAAGCTATAAAGTTTGTTTTAAACTAGGTCCTATTGTATTTTTACTTACTGACTGAATAAAGCTGCTGATCAGTTGAGTAAGTACAAGAACACACCAAAAATAGAATGATGGCATTAAAATATTACGTGCTGTAAAGAAAACAGAAACAAATAACTATAAGAGATGAGATGGACCCGGTGTGTGTCGTAACCTTTTACTGAAAGTTGAATTGAAGTTGAAAGCCAAGGGCCTGCTGATGGCTGATTATCCAGTTAATTTAACCTGCGCTGCTGTTTGCACAGAGTTGACGCATCGCCAGCTGTCTCCAACAAAGCAAACCTCACAAACTGAGCAACTACGATATTCAGAAAAATGTTGCAAACATTCAGTTCAATTCAATAAAAGGGGAAGTTATGTCGACCGTGAGTTGATTTAAAGAGGATTAGCATAGAGGTAAATTTTAACTTTCTCTCAGATACTCCGACAATGTTTGGTAGCCTTTTTTTAAATTATTATTACTGGCATGAAGTCAAAAATAGCTGTTTTAATAATTGCATCCAGTTTCATCTCCACTTTAGGGGAAACTGAGTTGTTGTTTTTTTTTTTTTGTTAGAAAACTTGAACTTGAAACTTGACAAGTTTTGACCATTGGATTTGATTTATTTTCTTGATTAGAAAGACAGACAGACAGATGGACAGATGGATGGACAGACTGTTACCTTCTCCATTCTTTCACAGTGAGGGTTAAATCCGGAGTCCTGCTGACCATGGATGAGCTGCAGCATGAGTCTGGGCTTCTCCTGGTTTCTGCTCTAATGATGTTGTTTCTGTGTCCATTCACACTGCTCAAAAAATATTTTATCCCCTGATGAAATATTGGCCAATCATTAGACCAAATAGGCCTAAATTCCCAGTATTTGATTTACATAATGCTCTGTGAACAGATTTACACTTCTGCGGTTTTCAAGGCCTCATAAGTGAACGTAACTCATCCAAGAAGCTCAGTGACTAAAATGGCTTAATGTTTTTTTTTTGTTTGTTTGTTTTGTACAAAAATATATTTAAAAAAAACACTGTCTTCATTTATGTACACATTTTGTGGAAAAAGAGTCCAAACATTATTCTTGAAGGAATATGTCCAAAAATCTGGTTGATGAATTTAAAAAAAAGCTACATCTTCATTCTTGTGGACAGTCTTGTTACCAAAAAACTTGTCTGGTCCTCATTGTTGGAGCAAAATAAATAGATTTTCTACATTGTGCACCACCACATATTTCATAAAAGGAACAAAAATGAATCAACGCATGGAAACAAAATCCAAGACATTGAATTCATGTACTAAAAAAATCAAGAATTGAGAATATTCGATCAAACCTTCCATTTGTGGCTGAAATCCTCGGTGACAGTGTTGCTTCAGTATCCTAACTAAACTGGAACCACTTCCAAGAAAGACATATCCTTTTGTCTCTTGGTGTAGCTGATCCAACAGATGCACCTGAGGCTTTAGCGGTTCCCATCTTGGGTTTCCTGGGAAATCATCAACAGGCGACACTTCTGACATGGAAAACACTCACTTACTGTGAGTTAAGTGGGCAGCAGGAAATTGTTAAATGGACCACGACTACCAGAGTCAAGATCAATCGACAGTCCATGTTGTTGCTTCATAAAACCACCAGTGAGACAGGTAAAAACAGGTTTCATTCCTATTAGAAAACAAAAATAAAATGTAAAATTTATTTGTTAAAACGGTAATAATACAATAGTATAATGTTAAACTAAAAGCACAAAGAACTTTGCTCTAATCAAAACACCTCACTAATACAGTATGTTGATCTAACACAACCATAAGTCTGATGTATTCATTTTACACAAGCTCTTGGTGAAAAGCAACAAATCTATCTATCTATCTATCTATCTATCTATCTATCTATC